CCTCCACTTATCCCCATGGTTCCCAACCAGCTGCCTGGCACAGCATCCTCATGTTATCACAGCTCAGTCAGAGAGGGCGTCACAGCAGGCTCAGCCTCAGGGATCTGGTCCTTTCCCAATGCAGGGTGCAGGAAGCAGCCTCACCTTGTGCTTCTGGATGGGCATCACCAGTAAAGCTACACTGCACGGCCAAGGTGTGCTTGCCATGATGTACAACATCTGCAGGTCAAGCTCTCCATTGCTTTCCACACCCCTCATTCCTTCATTCCCTCCCCTTTGCCCACCTTAACTCTGCTAACTCCCTAACACATCCCACATTCCTCACGTGCTTCTGGAGCACATATCATTGGCCTGAAGCTGTGTTATAACCACCCACTGTCCTCCCAGGCCAGGAATCATAACCACTCTGACTATCCATTGCCCACATAATCCCATCACTACCATCATCTTTTTAAAGACATCCTGAAAGAGATCAACAGGATGAACACCATGGAGATGGGCAGAGGCACAAAGCCAGCACTGCTGGGCAGAACACTTGCAAACACCATCCTAGGATCCCAAAACCAAGGGAAGGGTTTGAAACTGTGGATTGAAGCGAGCAAGAGATGGTCTCTGTGTGCTGGCAAGGCGAGAGCACCCAGTTCTTAACACAGCCATTGTGCAGAGAAGCAGACAGGGCAGCTTGCATGTGAGCCAGCTTTTATAAAGATGGAATCATAACATCACAGACTGGTTGGTGTTGGAAGGGACTTTAAAGCTCATCCAGTTCCAACCCCTGCCACGGGCAGGGACACCTTCCACTAGGGCAGCTTGCTCCAAGCCCCATCCAGCCTGGCCTTGAGCACTGCCAGGGATAGGGCATTTCAATTTAGCCTAAAAAAAAAAACCCTACACAATAGCATTTTCATTACAACACCAATGCATTCAAAACGACTTTGAAAAGCAACCAATGGACACTCAGGACTCATCAACACGCACCTACTTCTCTGTAATCCCAGTAAAAATACACATAGAGACTTGGCTATAGTTTTAAGACCAAACCAGTAGCACAGAGAAAACTACACGAAAACACCTGCATCCTCCAACCAATCATGAATCCAGGGAACCCCAGGTCAGAATCAGTTTAAATCCACACATACCTAAAATATCGAAGCACACAGCTGGGTGCTCAACAGCCTTAGCATGGCCTGTATCCATGCCACATGCATCCCATGTCTGTTAGCAGCCATCGTCTCCAGACCAAGTAACCTGGGGGGGGAAATGCAACAAATCTCCTCCTCTACTTCTCATCCACAAGATCTTTTCTTTCTAAGGCCTGATTCTGTGCTACCAAAAACTTCTATACTGGAGAACACCGTGGTAGCTGCACGTACCCACACGCTATTTTGGCATCCCTGCCCGAGCTATATGCAGGCATGAGAGGCCACGCTAAACAAGGAGAGGCCACATGTGGGATGCGACACTTCATACATGGGTGGTTCTCACTCAGCTCTGACCTGCAGGGACAGAACTGAAGCAAGAGAAACCCTTCAAACCCTAGATCTGAATTTCAAAGATGCAGTTGTCTACGGAGCTGCTGCTAACCCATGCCCTGAAGTGCTTCATCTTCTCCAGCTGATGGTCAGAACTGCACTCCTACCAAACTCAAAGGGGCATTTCCCTGCTCACTGCAGGGCAGTCAAAACTAGATGTCCTCTGAAGGTCCCTTCCATCCCAAACCATTCTATGATCCTATTGTGCACATCATCGTGCAACATTTTGCCTTGTTCTGTCAGTGTAACCATGCAACCAAGCTGATTTTCTGCTGCTGTGGGAAACTATTCTTTATAAAACCTTTCATTATACTCCTCAGAAATGGCACAGACACCAATATGTGTCAGTGAGAAGAGTAAACATCCCCGTGTAAAAAAGGCAGAGCTGAAACATCAACCCATTCAAACTCATCCTGGATCACCACTGATTAAACATCAGCTTTGACAGCGCATCCAAGTGATGCTAAAATAACCCCAAAAGCTAGTCTGCCTCCATCTCTGCAAAAGGCACGCTGAGTATTTTGGCCATCCTGACAAGCTTGATCTGATAATGGCTTCTGGATGGGTTATTCTTGGACCCCTGTGGAGCAGCATTAACTGCGCTTACCCTGGATGCTTCTGAGGCACCATCCTCAGTGACCTCCTCCACATGCCGCACATATTTCAGCCATTAAGCTAGATAATAAAACCACATACCGGATATCAGCAAGTGTTAATAAGATGTAATTCATTCCTGGCAAGGCCAGAATTGAGCTCTTTAAAAAGAAACACCACCAGAACCAAAACACACACGCAGGTTCACAGGGCCAAAGTCCAAAAGGAGTTCAAATGCACAGAGCTACTTTTATCTGCGCAATGAAGACCAACATTTGGAACGCAGCGAATTCCCCCAGAACCATAGGTAATAAAAGTCAGATTCACAAGGAACAGAGTCAATGGGAGCTCATCATTCCTGCTAGGATGCTGTGAGATCCCTCAGGTCCGGCTGACCCTGGGACCATCTCACTTGACTTCATCCCAGCACAGGCTTCCTGTCCCGGAGAGGGGCCAGCGAGCTCCCTGCATCCTTGACTGCAGGCCAGGAACACAAGCACAGCTCCGAGCGCTCCAAGACAGATCCTTCTGATTATCACAAAATGAAATTTTCAGCTCTTGTCATCATCGGCCTCAGATTTGTAATGTTACAAAAACACGATTTCCTTTCCCCATTGTATCAGCCCCTCTGCCATTCCCGCTGGTGAAATCAAACAATTTGAAAAGAATTTATATGATGCTAATTTAAACCGAATGTATTTAGCTGCCAATCGCAGTTCCCTGACTCTCCCAGGCCTCCTGCCAGCTCCGCTCTGTTCCAGAGCGACTATCAATCACGGCCAACAGACTGAGGAGAAAAAGACCCAGCCATGCAAAGACACAAGACTGGGAATTCTGGCAGTGGAAAACCTGCCCCTTGCTTTCGGCACGGCGACGTGGAGTGACCCCACGCAACGGGAGGCTCCGAAAGCTTCAGCTCCTCGGTGTAAAGCAGCTCGTGATGCTTTGTGCAGGAATGAACCTACAGCATTGCTCAAATTCCAGCAGCGCTTCCAAATTAGCTTTTGCAACTGGAAGTGGCAAGTTGACCTTCCTCCCCAGGTTGTATGGGAACAGAACGTCCACACTGATGGACAATTATCGAGTCCACCGGCGGAGATAACTCTGTCCCCACAAAGGGTGAAGGGGGAAACCAGATCCTGCACTTCGCAGCAGAAAATTCACAGGATCACAGAACTGTAGAACGGGTTGGAAGGGGCCTTAAATCCCATCCAGCTCCAACCCCTGCCACGGGCATGGACCCCTTCCACTGGAGCAGCTTGCTCCAAGCCCCTGTGTCCAACCTGGCCTTCAACACTGCCAGGGATGGGGCAACCACAGCTCCTCTGGGCACCCTGTGCCAGCGCCTCAGCACCCTCACAGGGAAGAGCTTCTGCCTAATGTCTAATCCCAGCCAAGATGTTGGGATGTTTAATCCCAGCATCATGACGACAAGACTGGAAACTGTAAGAGGAGGACACCACATCTACATCCTCTTCTATCTAATTGGTAAATATCCTTAAGTGGGTATACAGAAGTTATTTATTTAGTAATGTACTTGCTGCCATTAATTGGGGAACAAACGGCAAAGGAAACTCCTGCTCCCTCCCAGCCACAAGAACCAAGGAAGAATCTTAAGAAGGTTGGGCTGCCAATAATGAACAAAACAGAGTGGGGTTTGTGAACAGGAGCTGTTCTAGAAGGCATTGTAGTGGGTAAACTCAGCACAGTAACACCTGCAGCCACCACAGACTTTGCCACCATGGGTGTCTGGCTCTACAATAGGATGCACAGGTCACAACGTGGTTTCTGCAGATTCAGAAACACTTGTTCGATTCAACACAACAACAAACAGAACACTGTACTGAACTCCCAGACGCAGAATGGCATCTCCCCACAGCTCCATTGCACACTGCAAGGTTTGGTTTGTCTTAAAATACTACAAAGAAGCTCAGAAAAGGCAGTAAAGCATGGGATATACTGGAAATTAAATCAATTAATAGCAATCCTCAAGCCAGACCATCTTACAGAAAGATAGTGTTTAAAAGACAGAAAACTGAACTTGCCTCTACACCTCTAATCATAAACCCAACAGCATAAACTCATCATCTTGTGAGAAATCACATCAAGAGTCCTTCCATAAATCAACAAGTCCAATCCATCCATCACTACCAGAGGAGGCAGTTTACTGCTCATGAGAGGTAACATTTCACTACCAGTGGATCTGAATTTCAAAGCAGCAACGTTGTGTTTAAGAGCCTCTGTGAGCAATCTCCTGGCTGTGACAAGAAAACCTCTATTGAAATTCAAATCTAGAATATTAAAGAGTGGGAAAAGGCAATTCTGGTTTAATACATGCACGTGGATGTTCAGTTCCATCAGGGTCACCTTTTACAGACACCAACTGCTAGGCAAAATGCAAGCAAGCCATAAGGAAAGTTCACCCAGCACTTGACAACCAGTTCAAGATGAAAAAGCAATTAAGTTGGTATCAGAGCACGAACTCCTGTTGCTTTACCCTGAACCTGGGAAACCAGCACTGGTGTCTCCAGGTGCTCCAGCTTCCACCAGATGCAGCAGCACAAATGCCCCTGTCCTGATGAGCTGCACAGCCTAATTTGTGCACCCCAGGCTCTGGAGTACCAGGATCCAGCAGCAAAATACAGGTGGGAGAAGGCAACAGAAATGGTCCATCCCTTTTCAACAGTATATAAATCAGGAGATAAAACCTCTAGTAGCAACCACTGAATGAAGAATCATGGCTTCACCTATAACAAAATCACTTCAATATTTAAAACTAAGTTTAGTGCCTTGGGATTGGAAAAGAAGAATGAAGTTCAATATGATCTCCTCTCCCCAGAACCCACCCACCACGTGTGCACACACAAGTCCTACCTGTTTCATGGCCGTCTCTCCAATCTTGTCCGAGTGCTTACGGATGCTCTCCAGGAAATCCTTGAGGTCTGACATGGAAACTTCCTTGATCTCTTCACGCAGCTTTGGGATATTATCCACCATGATCTTGCAGAAGCGGTAGTGGCTCACTTGGGGCAGGTAGGTGTGCTCGAGGTGCTCCAGGGTCTTGAGTGCAGGGTAGTGCCTGGGGAGAGCAAGCAAGGCAGATGTGGAAGGAAGAACAGCTATTTCCATCCTTCAAAACAACATTAGCTTCAAGTCATTTGATATATCCAAGAATCTCAGCTCTCCTCAAAGAACACAGACCTTAAGATCAAGGGAACTAACCATAAAAGCACCATCTTCTTCTGGAAAGAGAGAGGCAGAAGAACACAAGCACACAGGAGCTCCTTATCAGAGCTCTGATGAGCAAACGAGGACCAGCTGGGTAACAAGCAACCAGCATCACCTGAGGCCAGCAGCAGCTTTCACCCACAGCAAAGCCGTTTGGGGCTCCATATTACAGAGTGAAGGAAAAGCTGCCAACCACATGCAGCATGGTCAAGAACATGGAGGAGCACAGAGGAACGATAGCTCAAAGGGGGACCCCAGGAAGACCCCGCACAGGTCCCCCCAGGGGAGCCATGAGCTCTGCCCGAGGGGAGACTGAGCTGAGCTCTTAGGCAGAAGCTCTTCCCTGTGAGGGTGCTGAGGCGCTGGCACAGGGTGCCCAGAGAAGCTGTGGCTGCCCCATCCCTGGCAGTGCTCAAGGCCAGGTTGCACACAGGGGCTTGGAGCAAGCTGCTCCAGTGGAAGGGGTCCCTGCCCATGGCAGGGGTTGGAGCTGGAGGAGCTTTAAGGTCCATTCCCACCCAAGCCATGCCCTGATGCCATGATGCCTATTACCAGCCACCCAGAATTCTCCTTTCTTACTGCTTGGAGAGCGTATGGATAAAAGTGAGCTGGGGTAAAAAAGACTGATCCCACCAGAGCCCTGCAGAACCAAAAGGGTTTTTCCCCATCACTTTCCAACAAGCCATATGTGCCTCAGCTGGTGGAGAAAAGCTCTTTCTGCTCCTTCCTTAAAGTCTGTACAATGAGAGACAAAGCGTCTCTCTCCATCTCTTCTCTCTGCTGGTTGCAGAGTCACTCCTCTGGGTTCAGACCGCTCTTCCTTCCCCAGCTCCTTCTCCAGCTCATGGCCATGGATTCTGCACTGGGCAAATGCCTGCATTGGCTTTACAAACACCCTGCAGCAAACAGCACATAACTCATTTTGTCTACCTTGGGAAGCTGAGTGTCTTCACCCCAAATCCAAACCCTATGACTCCTCTGAGGCTGTGTACCCAACACCAAGACTCAGGCTCATAACCAGCCCCTTGCTGGCCATCATGAGCCATAAGTGATACCGGGTGCAGCTACAAAAGTACTTAATGATATTGTGCTGTGTTTGGTGAATGAAGCCATCAAATACAGACAAAGAAGAAAAGAAGGCAGGGATTCAGATTTTCCTTAAATGTGGCTTTCAGCTTCTATTTGTTTCAAAATGAACCAATCCAAAGAGAGAGGAAGGCAAAAAAAAGATGCAGTTCTTAGAAGCAGACCCTGGAAACACTTTCCAGAGCGAGGGCACGGAGCAGCATGTGGATTCCCTTCAGAAGTGATCAGCTCCAGCTCCCCACCCCACATCTGTCAACAGATAAGCCCCTTGCTGTTCCTTTCAACAGAGTAAAAACACTTGGATGAACCACACGCTGCCCTAGTCTGTGCTGAGCCATCCTGAGGGAGCTGAACAAGCTCCCTGCGACTCCTCCAGCCAGCCCAACCTTCAGGAGTTAATGCTCATCTGGACCCAAGGAGCACAGGGATGAGCAGAGCAGGAGGGGGAAGTGTACAAATACGCCCATCCAATTAGTTATCGCCTTGTTGGAAACATCTGGTTTCTTCTGTCTTGTTCCCATGATGGATGGCAGAAACCATCAGGCATCGGATCCCACCGCTCTCCCCGCGTGCCATTCCCCTGGAGCCTGCTGTGTTTCCAGCCCAGCTCCTGCCAGCAGCTGCTCTTTGCCCAGTTTGCCCCCCCGCAAGGGCTACAAGGAGCCTCCAAAGTCCCACAGTGCTTAAATAAACCGGCCCCGGGGTCCCAGCCATGCAAATATCCCAAACCATGGTTGAATCCTTCAGCATCACAACAGATGCAGGGTGGGAATCACAGAGTGGTGTGTGACAGAAGGAACCTTAAATCCCATCCAGCTCCAACCCCTGCCATGGGCAGGGACCCCTTCCACTGGAGCAGCTTGCTCCAAGCCCCTGTGTTGAGCACTGCCAGGGATGGAGCAGCCACAGCTTCTCTGGGCACCCTGTGCCAGCGCCTCAGCACCCTCACAGGGAAGAGCTTCTGCCTAAGAGCTCAGCTCAGTCTCCCCTCGGGCAGGTTCAAGCCATTCCCCTTGGCCTGTCCCTACAGGCCCTTGTCCCAAGCCCCTCTCCAGCTTTCCTGCAGCCCCTTTAGGCACTGGAGCTGCTCTAAGGTCTCCCCTTCAGGAGCCTTCTCCTCTCCAGGCTGCCCCAGCCAAGCTCTCTCAGCCTGTCAAAGTCCTACATTTGCTGAGACACAAAGTCCACACAGCTCACGCACTCTCCTGAGCAGTTATTTCTACCACAAAATACACCACAGACCTTCCCACCAACTTCTCCCACCCTACGCCACACTTCCCAGGTGGCTGCCTTCTGTTCACTCGGATCATATCAGGTTTGGCGTTAGGACATTCACAGAATAAAACCCAGTTAATTACACCTAAATGCCACGTCAAACACTGGCTGAATGCATCACAACATCCAGCTTCCATGGAAAAGTGAACAGCTACCTACATTTAAAAGCCTACAACCAAGATGAGAGCCCTGCTGCAATCCCAGTTCTAGGCTGTAACACAGGAGGCTGAGCAGGAGCCTGAAGATTCCACCCAGAAATCAAACAAATTAACCTGAAAAAGCTGATTTTGAAGTCTTATCTTTTGAGAATATAAGACTCTTTATAGGTATCTATATCCTATAAAGACATGGGATATCTTCCATCGATCCAGCACCCAACGGGTGCTTTCCAACTCTTCCACCACAGACACCAATCCACATAGAATTTACCTTTTAGATTTCATTTGCTCTCGCAGTTTGCTGTACATCTCCAGGACTGGAAAGAGAAGGAGAAACACACATGGGTTGAGACCCAAGCGCAGGGATGTGAATGACTGAAGAAAATAAAGAGCACCTTGAGATTCCTCACCGGGAAGACACAGCGTGAGCTTATCCACCGTCGCTGATATATTCCGCTGCTGTAACCGGCATTGCTTCAGCTCTTCCATCGCTACGATCAACTTGGGGAAGGGAAAAAGAGATAAGTTTCACTTAGAGCAGTGAAGAGATGGAGGAGAGAGGATATAAACTGCACTTGTCCCGGCCATATGCCATAGGTTGACAAAAAACCCCACGGTGATAACCAGGAGCTCAGAAAGGCTGCAGAGCGCTGCTGGAACAGGAGCAGAGGCAGCTTCGGGTTGGCTCAACAAGCACCAGCAGCATTCCCTTCATTTCAAGTAAGCAAGAAGCAAAACCAAAGGCAACACAATACCAGCCTTGTAGCACGTCCCCTGGATTCCAAAGATTATTTCCCCTTCCCATTTTATTCATCTCTTCCCTACTCCCTCTCCACGCTTCTCTTTTCTAGTTCTTCCCAAGGACAGGATGTGGCGACACGCTCCCAAGGGGCTTTTGACCATCCCAAACTAACAAGGATTTTTTAAATGCTCAGCCTCCAACAGAAAAACCTGTGCATGTGGGCAAGGACAAACAAGGAGCAGCCACTGCATACAACAGAAAACACTCTACTTTCTTCTTTTCAAAGGGACAAGTCATGGATTTGTCCTCCAGAGCATCCATTTATCTCCCAAGTACCAGGAGACTGAAAGCCCTTTTGAAATCCCAGGCTCTTCTACTCTTGGAGGTGAATCCTCCATTCAAGGAGGTAAGTTTATTTGATTCAGGATTGAAGCTGCATCACCTCCTCCCCAAAGGGCATTCTTGTCTTTAACCTTCATTAGAATAATTGCTCTGATGCAGTCCAGGATGGGGATTTTCTTGTTTGTTTTTCAAATCAAGGCAGCTGCCTGCATGCACCAGGAGCAAAACCAAGGCAGGGTGTCTGGGAAAGCAGCTAAGAGATAAAACAGAAGAGCTGCAAGAAGAAGAACCTTGTATAGTAGATGATGCAATTATCAGGAGGAATGAAAAAGAGAGGAGAGGGACCATCCCTGGGAGTCCTTACACATCTCTATATTAGGCACTTGGAAAACCTGAAGCATCACTGCCTTCAGCACACTCAGCTCTAAAGTGTCCCCCAGTCTGTTAATGTTCTCTTATGATGAAGGGGGAGAAGAATGTATGTAGATAAAGGCACGTGGCATCCACAAGATGCTCAATCATTTCCTTTCCCCATGCCTCGATGCCTCTATTCATGCAGCTTAAAAGCCACCCTGACTTTAATTGTTGCTGTACTGCTTTGGGAAGCAGAAGCCGGGCTCTCCAGCTCATATGAATAGAAGCAGACTGGTTTGGGTAGGAAGGGACTTTCTTCTGAAGATCTTATCTCAGTCTCCCCTCGGGCAGGTTCAAGCCATTCCCCTTGGCCTGGCCCTACAGGCCCTTGTCCCAAGCCCCTCTCCAGCTTTCCTGCAGCCCCTTCAGGCACTGGAGCTGCTCTAAGGTCTCCCCTTCAGGAGCCTTCTCTTCTCCAGGCTGCCCCAGCCCAGCTCTCTCAGCCTGGCTCCAGAGCAGAGCTGCTCCAGCCCTCGCAGCATCTCCATGGCCTCCTCTGGCCTTGCTCCAACAGCTCCACGTCCCTCTGGTGTTGTTGCCCCAAAGCTGGATGCAGGACTGCAGGGTGGGGAAGAATCCCCTCGACCTGCTGGCCACGCTTCCTTGGATGCAGTACTGCTATGAGCAATCCCAATGACACCTCCCAAGGCTGCAGGATCAAGCCCACAATATAGGATTATTGTTGCTTTACATTCCCCCTGCTCCCCATGCTGTGCCTTCCACTAGCTTGCAATCCAGAAGCAGTAAAACGGAAAAATCACTTCCCAACACTCTGACACAGCTCATCTTTCAGGCAGCAAAGCAAAATACAGGACAGAGAATCAATGAATGTTTTAATACCAATTCCACCTATGTTATCAGTTAGGGCTGAGCACTTACGGGCACTGTAAATTCCCACTACCAAGCACAGCAAAATAATGGAAAAGCAAAAACCAGACAGAATGAATGACTGAACTTACTTCTTTTCCTTCATTCTGCAGCTTCCTGTTGGTGTCTGTCACTTGATTCTGTGGGAATATCGGGGGAAAAAGACAGAGCACATCTACATGAAAATCAGGACAATGTTCTTCACAAATAAACTGCATATAAACAGCATCACTTTTCACACAGTCTTCTTTTGTATAGCATACAAGTGTTCTTTGGCCGATTTAACAGCAGTGGCCATTCTGGCATACAAGGGTGCCAGCAGCCACACAGCAAATACCATGGATTTCCTTCCCTGCCACTAGAGAAAGCTAAAAGACGACAGAGGTTCATGGTGTTGCACAGAAGCTTCAAAATGTTGTGGTCTTAATGGATCCAATCTTATAGCAGATGCTCATGTGGGTTCTCATAGAAACCCAGACTGGTTCGGAAGGGACCTTAAAGCTCATCCACTGGCAGGGACCCCTTCCACTAGAGCAGCTTGCTCCAAGGCCCTGTGTCCAACCTGGCCTTAAACACTGCCAGGGATGGGGCATCACCTTAAAAGCTATATCACCTGAGTGGTGAAGGAGTTATATTTCCCCCCCCTCAACACCCAAATTGGGTTTTAACTCCCTATTATCACAGCAAGAAAATAATTCCTCAATGTGGGATTCATCCATAAAGTTCATGTATTTTCTTTTACATCTTCAGATGCATTTCCCACTGGATCCCTTCTCCTAGCTGGTATAAAAAGGTTATTTTTATACACTGGTATAAAAAATTGATGTATATTCCTTACTAAACCACCTTCCTGTATTATCCTATCAAGCTGGGGCTCACAGTTAAATAACTTTCCAGTCTGCAAACGTGGAGGTTCCCTGGACAAGCAAGATCACAGCAGTTCACCCCTTTGTGGCTCCAGACATCAGTTTGACTCAATGAAGACTCAGATGACCTTTGGTCTCGTGTGTGACTCGTCAGGATACAAAACAAGCAGCTTACACATCATTTAGACAACAAATAGAAAGATGACTCTGGGTTTTCTGCCGAATCCTCATTCATGTTCAGACAGGACAACTGCGAACACAGACAGCATCTTCTACAGCCCAGCTGGGACAGCCATAGAAGATTACACGAACTTCCAAGTGAACATGCCCAGATTAAGGTCCTCAGCAAGAGCAGCCAATTGTGAAGGTAAATACCAGCAGAGTTCAGGTGCTCCCGTCAGTCCAAGACTAACATGCCATGAAACTGCTTTCTTTCCATAGAATACTTATTTCCACAGCTACTCAAGTTGTATATAGTCATTTCCAGGCTTGTCTCCCTAAGATCATAGAATCATAGAAAGGTTTGGGTTGGAAAGGACCTTAGGATCATCCAGTTCCAACCCCCCTGCCATGGGCAGGGACACCTCACACTAAACCATGGCACCCAAGGCTCTGTTCAACCTGGCCTTAAACACTGCCAGGGATAGAGCATTCACAACCTCCCTGGGCAACCCATTCCAGTGCCTCACCACCCTCACAGTAAAGAACTTCTTCCTTAGATCCAATCTAAACTTCCCCTGTTTCAGTTTGAAGCCCCAACACAATGTGGATGGTACGTGGAGCAGAGCAACAGCTGAGCAAAGCAGGGCAAGCTTGAGGGTGGCCTGAAATGAAAACAGCTCTCTCTTTCCCTTTGGAGCACACCACAAAGCAAGCAGCTGAGATAGAATGGGAGCCTGGTATTTACATACAAGACTTCACAGGTTTAAAAGGTAAGCCCATGTGAACCTCATAAAGTTCAACAAGGCCAAATGCAAGGTTCTACATGTGCTTTGAGGCAACCCCAAGCACAAATACAGGGTGAAGGCGACGGGATGGAGCAGCCCTGAGGAGAAGGACTCGTAGGTGTTGGGTGAGGAGAAGCTCCCCATGACCCAGCTCCAGCGTGTGCTTGAGCCCAGAGAAGCTGTGGCTGCCCCATCCCTGGCAGTGCTCAAGGCCAGGTTGGACACAGGGGCTTGGAGCAAGCTGCTCCAGTGGAAGGGGTCCCTGCCCATGGCAGGGGTTGGAGCTGGAGGAGCTTTAAGGTCCCTTCCAATCCAGATCAGTCTGGGATTAAACTGATTGAGGATCCAGCTTGCTCCCTACTGACTACAGAAAGAAACTGGGCAACACCGATTTCCCACACTGGTCCAAACTGCAACATCAGGTCTCACACTGAAATGTTTGTGTAGCTCCAAGCAGCAGAGCCATCCAGCCTCACAGGCTTCCGTTGGTTTTAACACTGGCCATGCTGCTTTTTAAGCTTACCCTGCTGCAAAGAAGGGAAGTCATCCCATGATCTCCCCTCTCACAGTTTCTCAACAGCATCTGCATCACATTGCTCCCTCTTCAGCAGTAGCTTCAGCTTTCCTGGCTGATTGCCCTGTGTAAAAACTGCTCATTTCCTTTATGATGCACTGAGCTTTTACAAGCAGGAGCCCAGCATCTCTTCCAAGGATTATTTTATTTGCTTCTATCCTGAAAATCCCACCAGGAAAAAGGAATCTGTGTAGGCTAATTTAAAACTGCTCCTAAAATAATGCCAGGGCTGTAGTAGTCTTCTATTAAAATTACATATCAATCCCAGTTAAAGCAGGGAGTAAGGATAGATTCTGCCCTTGCACACTAGGAGTTTTCAGGGGGCAGGGAGTTGTGTTTTGTTTTGGTCTAAGGTCTACATGTATATATTGTAATAAAATAGATAATTATTTATATAGACTCTCTGTAGACACATTGAAGCCTTTCAGACAAGGGGGGTTTATAATCTAAGACAGACGCACAGCAAGGGGGGACAGACAACAGGTGAGCACATGTGAGGAACGAGACACTGGGATCACACAGGGGCTTAAAGGATGCTCAAGTCGTTAGTTCATTCATCTGCGTATGGAACATGTGGTACGGAGCAGGGCTTGGGATGGGTGAGGGGTTGAACATCACTGCTACCATTTAGTGTCGGAGTGATGAGAGAGAGAAGCAAAGGGAGCTGGAGAGGAATCCTGGGAATGGACCTGAAGGACACTACCATGACCCTGGTGCTGACTCCATCCCTCTGTCCAAAACCCATCTGCTGCTGATTCTGCAGTGTGGGATGTTTGCCTCGCTGGCTATACTATACTGAGGATGAAGAGCACAGCAGCTCCTTCCTGAATCCTTTATACATGTGATGGAGCACATCTAAAAGAACCCAACAAGAATTCAGGCTGTAGATTCCCTTAGTCACGTACTTTGAATTTAATCACAGGTCCTACTCTTACGTCATTCAGGTTATTAACAACATAATAAGGTTATAAATGTTCCTAGGATGTTGTTGAGGTATCAGCCTGTAGATGTTCACTACCTTAAGGAGGCCTATAAAAAACCTGGAGAGGGACTTACTACAGGGGTGTGTAGGTGTAGAACAGGGGGGAATGAGTTTCATCTGAGAGAGGGTAGATTTAGGTTCGATATTAGGAAGAAATGGAACAGGGTGCCCAGAGAAGCTGTGGTTGCCCCATCCCTGGCAGTGTTTAAGTGGATGGGGCTTGAAGCAACCTGCTCTAGTGGAAGGGGTCCCTGGCCAAGGCAAGGGTTGGAATTGTGTGAGGTTGAAGATCCCCTCCAACACAAACCAGTCTGGGATTCTAAGAAACATTCAAATGAAGGAGATGCCTCTTTGAGAGTGTATCCAGCGTGTTTTCAATTCATTTCTTTTTCATCCACAGACAGGTTATTAACCAGTGACCCAGCATCTCTTGAAAACAACACACTGCTGTGTAGTGCAGCAATTCATTGCAAAGAGCACAAACCTCCCAATTGAATGTTACCCCTTCACAGGGCACAAAAGTAGGACAGAAAGTTTAGCAACACAGTCCTGAGTAGATTTTAATCACAGAATCAGTCATAGAACACCATCTTGGAATGACCTCAGGGTCTCTTCAGGAACCTGCTTAGTAAGGTTCCATGGGATATAGCCCTAGAGGGCAGGGGGGCTCAAGACTCTTGGTTGGTCTTCAAGGATCACCTGCTACAAGCCCATGAGTGTTGCATCCCAACCAGAAGGAAGTGCAGCAGGAGGGCCAGGAGACCTCCTTGGATGGATAAGGAGCTCCTGAGGACAATTCAAATGAAAAAAGAGCTTTATAGGAAGTGGAAGCAAGGACAGGCAGCCTGGGAAGAGTACAGGGATGTTGTCCGGGAAGCTAGAGACCAGGTTAGGAAAGCTAAGGCCCAGTTAGAATTAAACTTGGCTAGGGATATTAAGGATAACAGGAAGGGATTCTACAGGTACATAGCAAATAAAAAACAGATTAGGGAGAACATAGGCCCCCTCAGGAAGCTCTCGGGTGAACTAGATACACAGGATTTGGAGAAGGCTGAGGTTCTGAATGACTCCTTTGCCTCGGTCTTCTCTAGCAAAGGCTCTGACTGCACCACCCAAGTCTTGGAAGGCAGACGCAGGGACTGTGAGAATGGAGACCTTGGGCCCACTGTAGGAGAGGGATTGGTTCGAGACCATCTTAAAAATCTAAACATGCACAAGTCCATGGGGCCTGATGAAATCCATCCGCGGGTCCTGAAGGAGCTGGCAAACGAAGCTGCTAAGCCACTGGCTATCATATTTGATAGATCACGGCAGTCAGGTGAAGTTCCCAATGACTGGAAAAAGGGAAATATAACCCCCATTTTCAAGAAGGGGAAAATGGATGACCCGGGGAATTACAGAGCAGTCAGTCTCACCTCTGTGCCTGGCAAAATCCTGGAGCAGATTCTCCTGGAAGGCATGCTAAGGCACATGAAAAACAACAAGGGGCTTCGTGACAGCCAGCATAGCTTCACCAAGGGGAAATCCTGCCTGACCAAATTGGTGGCCTTCTATGATGGGGCTACAGAACTGATGGACAGGGGTAGAGCAGTTGATGTCATCTACCTGGACTTGTGTAAAGCATTTGACACTGTCCCACACGACACCCTTGTCTCTAAATCGGAGAGACATCAATTTGATGGATGGACCACTCAGTGGATAAAGAACTGGCTGGATGGCCGCACACAAAGAGTTGTGGTCAATGGCTCAATGTCCGCCTGGAGACCAGTAACGAGTGGTGTCTCTCAGGGATTGGTGTTGGTACCAGTCTTGTTCAACATCTGTGTCACTGACATGGACAGTGGGATTGAGTGCGCCCTCAGCAAGTTAGATGATGGCACCAAGCTGTGTGGTTCGGTTGATCCGCTGGAGGAAAGGAATGCCATCCAGAGGGACCTTGACACACTTGTGAGGTGGCCTGACGCCAGCCTCATGGAGTTTAACCATGCCAAGTCCAAGGTCCTACACCTGGGTCGGAGCAATCCCAGGCACAGCTGCAGGCTGGGCAGAGAAGAGATTCAGAGCAGCCCAAGGAGAGGGACTTGGGGGTGCTGGTCGATGAGAAAATGAACATGAGCCGGCTTCAGTGTGTGCTTGAAGCCCAGAAAGCCAACAGTATCCTGGGCTGCATCAAAAGGAGTGTGACCAGCAGGGCGAAGGAGGTGATCCTGCCCCTTTATTCTGCTCTCGTGAGACCTCACCTGGAGCATTGTGTGCAGTTCTGGTGTCCTCAACATAAAAAGGACATGGAACTGTTGGAACAAGTCCAGAGGAGGCCACGAGGATGATCAGGGGCTGGAGCACCTCCTGTATGGAGACAGGCTGAGAAGGTTGCGGCTGTTCAGCCTGGAGAAGAGAAGGCTGCGTGGAGACCTCAGAGCAGCTTCCAGTATCTGAAGAGATAGGGATGCTGGGGATGGACTCTTCATTAGGGACTGCAGTGACAGGACAAGGGGTAATGGGTTAAAACTTAAACAGGGAAGTTTAGATTGGATATAAGGAGGAAATTCTTTCCTGTAAGGGTGGTGAGGCACTGGAATGGGTTGTCCAGGGAAGCTGTGAATGCTCCATCCCTGGCAGTGTTCAAGGCCAGGTTGGACGAGGCCTTGGGTGATATAGTTTAGAGCAAGGTGTCCCTGCCCATGGCAGGGGGGTTGGAACTTGATGATCTTAAGGTCCTTTCCAACCCTAACTGTTCTATGATTCTATGATTCTATGATCATCTGGTCTAACCTTTCCAGGCACAGCATGACCTACACTGGATGTCCCAGCACCCTGTGCAGCCCAATCTTAACAGTGTCCAATGCTGGGGAGTCACCACTTCCCTGGGGAGATTATTCCAGTAGTTGTTCTCAGTGTGAAACCTTTTACTCTTGTGCCCAGTTGGAATCTCCCCAGCAGTAACTTGTGCCCATCACCCCTTGTCTTTCCCACGGGACTCCTCATCAAAAGGGAGTCCCCACTGTCTTTGCAGCCATCTTTTAAACACAGACACATGGTGACAAGGTCTCCCTGAGCCTTCTTTTCTCAAGGTTTTAGTTCACTTGGAGCCACCTGAAATCCATCATTCCCGCACGGAGGGCAGCTCTGTTACCCATCAATGGCAGAAGACAACGCACCCAGCTCATATTGACCACGTGCACTCTTAAAACAACGAACACTGATATTTCTACAGCCTGATATTATAGGCAAAGCCCCAAAGCTAAAAGCACAGGACTGAAGCTACACACTGGAGATGCAACAGGGAGGGCATTTACTTTACTGCTAGTTGCGTGTATGTTCAAAGAGCAGCGCTACTGCGAGAAAGACCCAGATCAAACAGAGCATGAATAGCTGGAACAAAACACACTCTCACCACTGCACCCAGCAATGATTCCCTGAGGAAACCCTTACAAAGGAGGCTCAGGATTTGGGAAATATGTTTCTGTGTATATTTTCCCCATGTGCTGTTTTATAGATCGCATAGTAATGGAAATCAAGAGAGATCCTGAGGGTACAGAGATGGACTTCACAGTGCGCCACCAACAAAGTAGCTGTTTGGAGAATGGGAAACAGCAACAAGCCTCTGCAAACAAACAATGTGGAATTCTTGGCTAGGAACAATAGCTTAAAAATAAATAAATAAAGGCTTTTTGATGGTATTTTCAATGGCCTCATCCTACAGTCGACCGCTGGATGAATCCCTGCCATGGAAAATGCCACTGTCATAACACGGGTGCTTCTGGTGTCAGGATATCCCCCCAGGAAGGTGTTTCTGTGAGCATGTGGTTGGTTGTGGGATGGAGAGCTCTGTGTGTAAAGCCAAAAGCCTGCTTGGAAATGCCACAGGCAGCTTTAAGTGAATAAATACACGCACGAAAAGCAGCAGTCAGCACACTGAGGCTGGAGTTTCATTGCCTGAAAACAAGCTCTCTGCTCCACCAGGACCACATCTGGATGGCTTTCTCTTACCTTCAGTTTCTGAGCCTCTCCCCTAACCTTCAGCAGCTCTGTGATGGAGTCCACAAAGCCCTGGTAATGGAAGTTGCACATCTTCTCGATCTCACGATCATGGTTCCTGATCCGTGCCTCCAGTTTCTCCATAAAGCGACCGTGTTCTTCTCCATCATAGACGGACCTAAAGAGAAGATGACAATGATGGGTCAATATATATATGGGTCAATGATGGGTCAATATAAGGGGCATATAGGGATGCTGGGGAGGGACTCTTCATTAGGGACTGTAGTGATAGGACAAAGGGTAACGGGTTCAAACTGAAACAGGGGAAGTTTAGATTGGATATAAGGAGGAAATTCTTTCCTGTTAGGGTGGTGAGGCACTGGAATGGGTTGCCCAGGGAGGTTGTGAATGCTCCATCCCTGGCAGTGTTCAAGAGCAGGCTGGACAGAGCCTTGGGTGCCATGGTTTAGTGCGAGGTGAGGCTGGAACTGGATGATCTTAAGGTGCTTTCAAACCCAAACTGTTCTGTGATTCTATGATTCTAATATTGCAATATTTGTTAACTGTTGCTTACACTATCTGCTTCAAAAAACCTCCTGTGATAAAGGGATAGTTCTGCTGTTTATTCACACACACAAGGCACCAAACTCAAGGTTGAGTATCTTCCTTTTCCAGCCCTTCTTCTTCCACCTGCCAAACACCAGGTTCATGTTGCTTCAGAGACCACAACATGGCCAGCCCAGCACCAAATGATCCGAAACAAAGTCTTTGAGCTCTGTCTTTGAGCTCAGCCACCTCTGGTCAATATTTGCTACCATATGCTACAGTGCTGAGTGCTCCTCCTGGATGTTCTTTAGCCTTCAAGACTAAAAGCTATAATGGAAAAATATCACGTCTACAGCTGCCAAAACCCATTCCCCTTCCCGCTCCCAATGGTGACAGCACTGTTAGCCCTTTGGCAGCAAGACCAACACAGCCACAACAAACAAACTGTTGAACTAGAAGCAGCAAAAGGGTTCTTGGGGTCACTGCCTGCTGAAAACAGAGCCCAAAACACATAAAGGAAGAGGAAAGGTCACCACTGCCCTTGAGTGAGACATGTGCAAGGCAGCAATTCCTGCAGCTGAAACAGCACCCAGCTGCTGGAGAAGAGAAGGCTCCTGAAGGGGAGACCTTAGAGCAGCTCCAGTGCCTAAAGGGGCTGCAGGAAAGCTGGAGAGGGGCTTGGGACAAGGGCCTGTAGGGACAGGCCAAGGGGAATGGCTTGAACCTGCCCGAGGGGAGACTGAGCTGAGCTCTTAGGCAGAAGCTCTTCCCTGTGAGGGTGCTGAGGCGCTGGCACAGGGTGCCCAGAGAAGCTGTGGCTGCCCCATTCCTGGCAGTGTCCAACCCAAACCAGTAAGATTCTATGATGCATTAAACCTTTCTGCCTGCAGAAAGGGATGTGATCCTTTGGAGCGATCTGTGCCCAAAAGTCACTCTGGAGGACCCCATCTGTGCAACCCACAATGGTCTCTTATCAATAAAAATACCCTGACAGGACTAAAAGACAGAGAAAAAACACTTAAATAACACCCTTTAATACCTGCCCTAGCAATTTCAGTTACACAGTTTCAATAAGATCTCTCAACAGCAAACCAAAACGCCCAAACTTTATAAACCTAATTAAAACTCAGTGTAAAACAACAGTCACCAAGATTATGAGCCTGCAAAGGTGACCCTATTCCCTTCTTTACTCCAAGACAGGCGTTGGTTGGTGCTAAAGGTGAAAGAGAGATAGAACCTCCTGAAATCACATGGATACGAGCAGTTGCTCCGTACAGCTTAGCAGGGTTTTGCTGGTGGAGGAGGGATGCTGGAGGCAGAGTGCCATCTAGTGCTCTTTGCGTTTACAGAAGCATCTACCAGGGGCGAAAATGAAACACAAGAGTCACAAATCCAGGCAAAATTTCCTCTGGAGGTGGCCAAAGGGAGACATAACGGTCTGGTGACTGAAAACCTTCTATTGCATTTTTATTTAGCCAAACTGGAGTGTGAAACAAAAAGAGCTGGTGACAGGAAGCAACGAAACCCCAGCATCTCAGGGGTCAGCTCTGAGCTTGGATTTGAACAAACTCTGCACCATAGAATACCAGGGAGGTTTGTGTTGGAAGGGACCTTAAATCCCATCCTGCTACAACCCCTGCCACGGGCAGGGACCCCTTCCACTGGAGCAGCTTGCTCCAAGCCCCTGTGTCCAACCTGGCCTTGAGCACTGCCAGGGATGGGGCAGCCACAGCTCCTCTGGGCACCCTGTGTCTCAGCACCCTCATCTTCCCCTGAGCTTTCCTGTTCATCCCAAATCCTCCCTCCACAGCAGAACCAGCATCCTTCACTTCTGCCCTCCCTATAAAACACATGCAAGTGGGCAATAGCCCAGCCCATCCTAAACCAAACTGCTGAAGGATGGCAACTCCAAAGTAAGGGGATGTCAAGTTCTTCCTCTGTGTTGAACACCATCATAAGTGGATTACAGTGAGAGTGCAGGGACTCAGTTTGACTGCAAGAACAAATCTCGCCCCTACAATCACATCAAGACACCCTCAAGTCCCAAACTCCACCATCATCATCTTCAGTTCCCTGGCTCTGGTAGACATCCAACTTCCTGAGCTGCCCAAGCTGCCGCACCACTCTTGCAAAGCATCCCTATGATCCTATACCCTTGATGTAAGCATGCTGTTACCTGCCTAGTTACTGCCAGCTTTCTCAAGCCCAGCTCTGGTTCTCACCTGACACACTCAACTGTGCACGTTCATTACATCCCTCACATTACCACATCTGGGACATCACACTTCCCACTTCTTCCCCACCAAACCTTCAGGATTCCCACTGCCTTGCTCTGGATCTCCAGGTCTCTTCAGCTGCTCCCCTCCACCTCATTTCTTCTGCACATACATGCTGCTCTTAGCAACATCTCTCCTATTTCAAACACTGGTTACAGCCCAATCTGCATCTTCAATACCTGCCCTGAAGTGACTTGGTAAGACACTACAAAATGATGCAAAAGCATTTCTAGAAAGAAATGAATCTTAGACATAGATTAATACCCATTAATAGTCACGACAGCACATGATGAACGCATAGAGGAAGGAAAACAAAAATCACAATTAGAATTGGTTTGGCCTATTTCTTCTCTTGGTTGTAAATAACAAAGTGCTGGGACAATGCTATAGAAAATGATCCTTGAGGCAGCTTCTCTTCTGCCTTTGCTTTAAAACATTGCTTGTCAGATAGCTTTAGTAATAGCCTCCCCCACAAAAAGCCTTCTGATTGAAACAGGCTGAGGAGGAGTGGTGTGTCCTGCATGTACTTATCTTGTAGCTCTGTAGGCTGTAACTCCGGGCTTGAAGACTTCGCTCAGCGCCACATCAGTCTGGTTTACATTTCTGAAGCACACTCGCTAAACAAAACCATTGAGGATGCCTTGGAAGAGTTCTTGGATTGCATTGTTCGGTTCCACAGTTTCTGCAGGCATTACAAATCCACTTTGGTTTTGATTCCAAAAGGTCAACTGGAAAAATCTTTCCAGGAAAGCCAAAGCAGGCAAATGTATCACGAGTTCCCATCTGCGCCTCGTGTCGCTGCAAAGTGTAGTCCCCAAAATAGGGGCAACCAAACCTGATCTATGTCAAACAGCCAACGCATTAACAAAGGGGATGCTGCAGATGCGGATGGGTGGCACAACCGGATGCCCTGGTGCCTTTTCCGTTTCCCAAGCAGCAGCCCATGCAAAAGCACATCATGATGGAGAACCATTCACACCTTCATCCCCTCCCCACACCATAAAGCCTCACTGTGCTGTACTCAACCACTGCACTGGATACCCCAATGTATTCTCCATCACTTCAACATCCATAAGAACAAAAACAGGGGGAAAAGCAGAGTCAGCCACTCTTCAGGTGTTTCATGTGGCTGTTCTCAGACTTGCAGGTCCTAGACCAGATACCATCTCCTGTATCCATACACCGTATCCACACAGTGTTGCAACAAGTCCAAAGGAGGCCATGGAGATGCTGCGAGGGCCGGAGCCGCTCTGCTCTGGAGCCAGGCTGAGAGAGCTGGGCTGGGGCAGCCTGGAGAAGAGAAGGCTCCTGAAGGGGAGACCTTAGAGCAGCTCCAGTGCCTAAAGGGGCTGCAGGAAAGCTGGAGAGGGGCTTGGGACAAGGGCCTGTAGGGACAGGCCAAGGGGAATGGCTTGAACCTGCCCGAGGGGAGACTGAGCTGAGCTCTTAGGCAGAAGCTCTTCCCTGTGAGGGTGCTGAGGCGCTGGCACAGGGTGCCCAGAGAAGCTGTGGCTGCCCCATCCCTGGCAGTGCTCAAGGCCAGGTTGGACACAGGGGCTTGGAGCAAGCTGCTCCAGTGGAAGGGTTCCCTGCCCATGGCAGGGGTTAAAGCTGGATGGGATTTAAGGTCTCTTCCAACCCAAACCACGCTGGGATTCTATGACATAAATGCTGAAAACACATCAGAGGAGCTTAAACGCACTGCACACATCTGAATTAATGCTAGCAGATACAGAGTTCTTTCTGCATGCGCTCGCTGTGTTCCATCCTCAACAGTTAACATGAGTCCCCAAGCAGCCCTGGGGAAGGCCAAGCCACGAGTCTGACCCCACAACCTTGGCCCCAAGGCGAGCTGCCTGCAGGGCTGGCACTGGGGAGTCACCTAAATGAATGCAGCAGGAAGCACAGAGGAGGGAATGCTGGGGGGGGGGCGAAATGAAAGCGATCTGGAACAATGCAGGAGGACATTCTGGGGACACTGGAACAGAAGGGACGTGCTTTTGGTTTCAATTAATAAGTGGAACAAATTCCTGACTCTGTTACGGACTTGTATTTCCCTTTTTCTCTCTCTCCCCCCCCAAACTTCTGTAGTGGTTTTAATGCCTCAGAAACATTTTCTTCTCATTAAGCTACATAAAAGCATTAGCAGTTTAATCTTCTTCTGACTTTTGTAATCAACAAATTAACTCCCAAGCAATGCAAGCAAAAGTACATAGAATAAACTAAGATTGGTGCAAGAGCTTCATGGAGAGAAGGTCAAAGCAAGCTGGCAAAATGGGTACCTGCTTACCATCCAATGCCAGAGCAAAGAGCTTCCAGCCTTGGCTTCACCAAGGCCACCTGCATACACAGGGCG